GATCACCTTAGCCTCTGAAGACCTGATCTACTACAAGCCTACGACCTACGACCCAGACCACGACCTCAGTGTACTGTTACTACGTGTCAATCCCCAGCTTCTGTTAGCAGACCCTACTGTCGGATAGCTGACCGTAACAATTACTATAATTTATTTCCTTTAGTTATAGTTTTTTAACTACTTAATTACTTTTTTATTATCTAATTACTTTTTTAATTTAACGATAATAAGAAGCTTTTATAAATTTATAAACTTTATTATAATAACTATAGTACTTTACTATTAGACTTTACTACGTATAACTTATAAGTATAAATAAAGTTTTAACTTATACTTAGTTTTATTTTTACTTATATACTTAGTAAACCTATCTACTTATATTCTAAGTATACTTATAACTTAACCTATTTAGGTAGGTACCTATACGTATCTATAGTATAGGTAATTTAAAGCCTATTCCTAGTTATATGCAATTAATATTTCTCAAGCCCTATCAACAACACTAACTACCGTTTGCTCACTAAAGCCTTTGTTGGATTCTCGTCGGCCTTCGCTTTCCTTCGAATATCAACCACCACCCCCTAAGCCATCATGATGCGACTCGTCAGCACGGAGCCTGTCAAGGACCCTAAGACCCGACTCATGATGGTTTTCCCTCAGGATGAAACTCCACCTTATGCTATATTGTCCCATCGATGGAGTCCGAAAAGTGTAGGGGAGGTAACCTTCCAGCATCTCGATCCCAACTCCGAATCACCGAAGGGTCCTGTTAGCTACAAGAAGATCACAGAGTTCTGTAACAAGGCCTTTGACGCCGGATTCGAGTGGGCGTGGATCGACACTTGCTGCATCAACCACGAGGACTCTCAAGAGGAGGGAAAGTCCATCAATTCAATGTACAGCTGGTATCGCAAGGCCGAAGTTTGCTACGCATATTTGGCAGATGTCACTCAGGTTGGGGATATTGGGAAGAGCAATTGGTTCAAGAGAGGATGGACGCTACAGGAGCTCCTAGCTCCCCGGAATCTCATTTTCTTCGACCGAAATTGGATTGACATCGGCTCGAGAGCTCTTCGGCGAGACATCATCAAGGAGACAACGAAGATTCCATCCGAAGTTCTACTCATAAACACCAACACAGACTACAGTGTAGCACAGATAATCTCGTGGGCCACGGGCAGGGAAACAAGTCGCCCTGAAGACCGCGCGTACAGTCTACTTGGTTTGCTCCGTATCACAATGGCGTTGGATTACACCGAAGGAGGTGACAAAGCCTTTGTCAGACCCCAGCAGGGAATTACTAAACGATCTACGGACCATTCTATTTTCTCTTGGGCAGCCAAACTTGAAGAACCTGGCAAACTAAGGGACGCTTTTGCAAAGAGCCCAGATGAGTTTGCGTCTTGTGCGGACGTCGAGCCCAATACCACCTCTCGAGAATTCGCGCTCACTAATAACGGTCTCCGCATTCAAATGCGCATCAACGATAAGGATCCTAATATGATATGGGGCGTGCTCGATTGCACGCGCAAAGGAAAGCACGTCGCCATACCCCTCGAGCAGATTGGGGATGCTGCAGAGCGTCGCTACGGACGGGTTGGACGTCGTGGTCCGGATGATGGCGAAGTTGGAGCTACCGATGTTGAAGCTGCGATCTTCGATGAATTGGAATACAGGGAGGTGTATATTGCACCCACTGGACCACGCAACTTCAATCTTACTGAGTGGATGGACGCTGGGGCGCAATACACCTTTTTCATGGAGCCACCCATGACGCCAGGCAGCCCTCTTGTCATCGATCTGAAAGCCACTGGGAAAGGTCGATGGAAATTCGGACCCAGGGCCTGGGAACTGAAGCTGGAAGAAACAGGTCACTGTGGAGCCATGCTCCTGCAGCATCCACTTGGCGAGGATCAATTTGTGGTCATGCTGGGAGTCCACAACAACAGAGTGTGGACTAACATTGAGCCAAAGAACGGGAGTGGCGAGAGTCTTAAAGAGATATCGAACAACTACCTCGTGACTGCTAAGGACTTTCTTACTTCAGAACGGGGCAAGCCTGTTTTGAATGGCTTGGACGAGCGTGTGCAGGATCTTGGGGGAGGGAAACATGTGAGTGTGAAGATTCGGAATGGGGAAGTGAGGAGAGAGAAATGTTTCAGGGTACGAATCTCGTTCTTGGTTTATAATTCGAAGTTGTAGAAGCACCATCGTTCGTTCAATTGATTCGATATCCATTCTTGACATCTTGCATGTACTCCTCCCGAGTACCCTTCTCACTGCTCCTGTAAATCGCCTCAAGCATCCGGTGCCTCAACAAAGCATCCTGGAAATCAGGCACAGCACCCTCACCCTCCCCAGCAAACGCGTCCCACGCCCTGCCCGTGTTGAACGAAAAGTCCTTGGCCTCCTCGACCTCAATCTTCTCCAGCTTCGCTCCCGCCTCCGCCTTGGCAAAGCTGACCGTGGGCTGAAACCCCTGAATATTGCCCATGGGCCCCTCCAGCACAAGCGTCCCCTTGGTCCCCGTGATTTCCCAGAAGAAATTCTTGTCAATGGCGCTCATGCCGCCTTGGCACACGGCAGTCGCTACGCCGCCGCCCGCAAGTCTTCCCGTGACGGTGCAGTGATCGTGGGACGTCTTCGTGATTGTCCCCTGCTGTTTCCCTTCGCTGTCGACGAGGGGAACCACAGGCCGGTTATTCGCGAGAGTTCCTTGCACTCCCCTAAGCTCTCCGAGCACGAAACAGAGGGCATCCAGCGCGTGTCCAACAGAAATCGACATCAGGTTGGCCCCATTCTCAATATCAGTTGCGAAAACAGCGTCCGCCGGAAAGCTGGCTCCAAACCAAGGACTCGTGAAGAGCATCGTGGTCTGGAGTATGTCGCCCAGCTCGCCACCGGCAACCATGTCCCTTGACTTGAGCACCGAAGGATCATGACGGCCCTGCAGACCGACCAGCGTCCTGACGCCCTTCTCGGCCGCCAAGTTCGCGAGGTACTCGGCCTCAGCGACGTTGCGCGCGAGCGGCCACTCGGAGAAGACTGCCTTGCCGGCTTTGAGGGCCGCTTCGATGATGGGCAGGTGTGCCGGGACCTTGAGGCGGACGGCGACGAGGTCGATGTTCGGGTCCGAGACGGTAGATTGGATGTCGCCGTAGGCTGCGACGTCTTCTCCGAGATTATGGATGCGAGCGGCTTTCTTTGCAGTCTCGGTGGAGGAGTTTTGGAGCGCTACGATCTTGTAGCTGGACGTCGTGGCGAAGTACGGTAGGTGTGCCGCGACGGACCATGACCACGCTCTAGAAGCAAGTCAGCATTTTTTTTTTCTTCCCTCTCGATTATCATCTAGCGACTTACGGCTGGGATGAGAGGCCTACGAAGCCGACCTTGATAGAATTTTTAGACATCTTGGTGACTTTGGCTAAGACGATGAGGTTGAAGGATGAGGAAATAGGCTTAACGTCATGATCACGATATCTTCGGTATGAATAATCGCCTTTTATACGTTCAGACAACTGAAGCCATCAATACTGCTTACAAAAGTGTTCGGCGACACCATCGTTAACCTGACTTCACAAATGCGGATGAAAAGCTATGGCCCGTGTGTCAAACGTCATCCTATTGCCTTACAAAGCTCTGAAAGTTACAAATGCGACGGAGCAATCGCCCTTTTGATTCCGCCTACGGCTGTTCAGACGCATCGGATCTGCGGTACGATTCGTTCTGTTTCTAGCCTAATCGTACCACTACACATACGAACATACGAACAGATTGTCACAGTAGCCGATGCGAAAGGAGTCAAGCACAGGTTTGGGTTAACAATGTGTGAAGGCAGTGAACGAGTGTATTCCAGCTTGGCTAGCCTACGATTTTCCTAAATTGCTCGTACCCAGGCCCATCTACCATTCTATGTGCCCTAGTCTTACCTTTAAAGAGCGTCATGAACGCGCCGAACGAGTGACGGAAAACCAAATCTCAGCCCATCCAGAGACAATAACTCCACTCAGAGCTCGTTCTCCTTCTTGCGGGCGTCGATAACAGCCAACGCCTCCTCGGCGGCCTTGACACCTGAGAGAGCCATGGCGCCAAAGGTAGGACCTGCACCCTAGTCAGCGTCTACGTCAAGCTGAAGTTCAACGGATAAGAACTCACCCATGCGGTTCGCCCCGTCAACCTCCGAGAGCTCCATGCCACCCACAATCAACCCCTTTACAATCTCCCTCGTCCCCTTCACGATCGCGTCCTCGGCCTCCTTCATATCCAACCCGCGCATCCCGCCAAGCTGCTCAATCTGCTTCATGCTCACGAGCCTCTTCACAGAGAACGCACCAAACGGCCCATCGTGGCCCGTCGTCGAGATCACGAGCGGCGCGTTGATTGTGTTCGGGTCCATGCAGCTCTGGTCGTCGTGGTGCATGCTCACCAGCGTCCAGTTCGTCACCACACCGGCAACCCGCACGCTGCCGTCCGCCTCCTTGCGCGTGATCAGATCCTCGACCGCCGTCGCGTTGAACAGCTTCACGTTCGGGAACTGCAGCACGCGGCTGAGCACCGTCGACGTGAACAGCGCGGCGTGCTTCACCACCACAAAGTCGCCCTCGTCGTCGTACGCGACGCCGAGCTCATCCAGGAACACGTCCGCCGGCTTGCGCATGACCATGGCGCTGAAGAGCTGGCCGCCGAGCCACGCGCCGCCGCCCGGGGAGACGCCGGCCTCGACGATGGCGATCTTGAGGTCCGGGCGCGCCTTGGCGAGCACGTAGGCCGTGGACAGCCCGCAGGAGCCCGCGCCGACGATGACGATGTCCGACTCGGCGTAGGTGTCGAGGTCGGCGAAGTAGCGCCGCGTCATGGCGCGCGAGACCTGCGACTCGCGGATGGGCGCGAAGGTGAAGGTGTCCCACTTGCCGAACATGTCCTCGACCTTGGTCTTGGCCTCGGCGGCGGCGGCGGGGACGGCCGGCGCGGACTTGCCGGTGGAGTAGGTTACGGCGAAGTCGCGGACGGGGGAGATGGCGGTCGGAGGAGCCATTGTTGTTGTCTTGATTGTACTTCGAGTGCGAAGTTGTGTGTGTGTGTAATCTGCTTGTGTTAGGGTGCATGATCCTTTCGCTGGTATTACCCAGATCAAGTTCAAGGCCGTATGTTCTCAGCCCAGCCCCTTCACCCGCGCCGGTCGCTGGCGGCACCATGAGATGGCAGCGACATAGGCAGGGTAAGAGACTGGGCACCGGCTCATGCGTTTTGCGTTCCAGAGGTCACATACTCTAGATTGTATGGCTCGAGTAGAGCCTTCTCTGTGGGTGTGTCAGCTGTACCGCATCATCGATCTTACCAGGAGGGGCATACTGATTGTGAGTCTGTTGCGTATAGTACTTCGGGAAAACCTCAAATGAGAGACGATTTAGTTATGCTGTCACCGACGATGTTGGGGAGATGATCTCCTACTTAAATACACCTTCGATAAGCCCAAACGAAAACCTTGCCCTATCTCCTGCGGGGTAAAAGCAATAGTAAACATCATCCTCACATCACGCCCAGCTTCTCCCGCCGCCCATTGGGTTCACCATTGGGAAGCGGGCGTGATCGGCTGCGTGGAATATGCAACCCCGCGACCAAACAAAGTAGAAGCAAGCTACGCAGCTACCTCTCGCCCGCTCGCGCCTTCGCGCTCGTGTAATTCAGCGGGCAAATACATCACAATAGTGGGGGTTCCTTCGCCCCGTCGCCCAACAATCGAGCCGGAAACCAACGGAGCCCCTCCCGAAAGCCGATGTCACCCGCTCCTACGCCGCAACACCCGTCGACGGCCGGGATCGCTGCATGGCTGCGCGCCGACGATCCCCCGCGCGGCGGCTGGGGGCGACCCTGTGTCACCAGAGAAGGAAAAACAACTCATCGTCGCTGCTCGTCAGTTCCAACCTCTCATCGCGGAGCTGCCCGTTCAGGCAATATGGCTTTCTCCATCGTTTGCCAGAATGTCTGTTTGCTGTACCGACCACATCGGCGAAAGGATGCTTCGCCGCCGAACCCGGACGCACGCACGGTTCTGCTTACCTCTAGGGAAATAGTGTTCGGTCATTTTTACGTTTAAGCAAAGCACGAAGTACTGCGTAGCAGAGTAAGAAATTCGCGCATATCGACTGGCATCGGGCTCCATTGAGTTCCTCAAGACTTTCCCAAGGTTTGCTGCCAACTTGGCAGGACGACATGATTGGAGGGGTAAAGGTGAGGTTGAATGGAAACACTTACGAATGCTGTCTCTGTGAGTGGTGGGAAGCAATGGGCGCGGGGGTTTGACATGTTTTACGTAGGCGTGATTTAGAAGCATGTGCTTCGTTGTCTATCAGTGACCTTCACATTATCGGTGTGATTAGTCACTAGATGCTGTGGCATGTCACACACAATTGGCGTGACGCTGACCTCACGATAGATGCAGTTCATGCTCATTAAATCATTCTTACATGCCTCATGTACTTTAGACGGCGCGGCACACCCTACGCCATAGCTATGTTCCATATGCCACGCCAGCAGAGCAGCGTCCAAAGACGCCAAGAGCCTGCCCAGTTCTGGTCGATCTATCGCGTAAGATCGTCGTATGCTCCCAATGCGTCAAAACGCCATGCATTACCGCGCCTTCGCAATCATCCCCGAGTAATCTCGACAGCTCGTCGTCACCGCGAACCCCTTCCCCTGCCGATATTCCTCCCCGGTGCTCAACATCAAGAAACCGCCTCTACGACAGCCGACGTCTTCGCTCTTGACGGTCGACGGCGTTGCCGGACCGGTGGTGCTTCCATCGGTCTCCGAGCCCGTGCAATCTGAAAGCCCGTCGTTGGACATGTCCGCCGCCATCGTCTCCCAGAACTTCTGTGCAGGGCTTTCCGCCAGCTGGCTCAGCTCCTTCAAAGCGCTGCCATGCCCGCGATCGTACCACGCAATGAGGTACCACCTTCTCGGCGCCAGAAACATGACTTCGCACCAAAGCACAAAGATCATGAGAGCCACGGGCTCTTTGAACCGTAGCAGAGACAGGTACTGTTCTGACACGAGCGATGGCCAAAGGATGAAGTGTTTCCATATCCGCGGTCGTCCTGGGAGCGAACTCATCCAAGACTTTAGCGCTACAAGGGCGCTGAGGTAGACCTTGGTGTCGTCTTCCGGTATCCCTGTTGCTTCTGACCCGAGGGACAGGAAGTCCACGAACCGGGCAATCTTTTGTAATGACGGCCGTAGAGCAATGTCGCTGCTGTCGCGCCATTCTTTGATATCAACTTGTGCTAGCTTGTCTCGTATTGGACTCTTGAAGACGTGCGGTGTTACCGTGTCGGAGAACTTCGCTGCTACCCGCATGACGTTTAAAGCTTTGGCCGGCTCGAACGAGTTCACCTGCCCCATGACTTTCTCGTCCGCAAAGGGCCTGTAGTACCCAAAGATTCCGTTGCACATCGCGAAGACGAATGTCGCGAGCCAGTTCTCTTCTGTGACCTCCGGGACCGCCAGTCGAAAGTAGTTACTTGCTTGGATGGCATGCTGGCAGGCCATAGAGTAGTATCGCTTCATCTCGGGCGGCTCGAGGTGGCACAGATGAAGAGCTGCGATCGACAGCATGCTCTGATATATGAAAACATTTCGAGATGCCAGCTGTGGCACCCACCGTGACCAGACGTCACATTTCCTAGGGTCGCTCTGAAGGGAGAAGGTGAACCACGCTTGTGTCAGGAAGTGATGCTTGAGTTCAGCCTCGTCGGCGCGTAGCTTCTCGGCCGGTAATGAGGCATTGAGGGCGTCTCTTGAAGAAGCATGAGCAGCAACGGTCGCCGCACGGCGGACCATGCTTATGGTATCGCCGGTCTTGTCTCCGCCATTTTCTCGGTTGAGGGCGTCTGCCAGGAGACCCAAGTAGCTGCAGTGCTCTTGCCGACGACGACAGTTGGCGCAGACGGGTCCGACGCAGTCGCACTATGTAACACAGTGGTCAGCATCTTCAAGTGGATTGTGAATATTGTACGTGATAGAAGGAGGCTTCGGTATGCTGAGATCATGTCTTGTTCGTGTAGCCGTCCTCATGACTGGCCAAGGCAAGATCGAACAACCCGGGATGTGTGCATGCATACATGTAGCCCATTCGGTGCCAAGTACTTGAACAAGCTCCAGAGCACACCGCGGATTTGCAGATGAGGCCCGGAGGATTTTGCGCTGGGATGCGGGTCATCCTCACCTTGACACGACGCTTCTTGCACTGTCGACACCCGTTCTTCGTCTTCCCGTGATATTGTCTTGAACCCTTCGGCATTCTATCGTTACATACGTCCGTTCTTGCGGCGCAACGCTCTAGATCTTTGTCTTCTTCCCTCGGTTGGGTCGGCAATCGTGGACGTAAGCGGTACCCGATGGATGGCGGGAGCGGGAGAGCGACATGTCTAGCGGCTTGGTGTGGGCTTGCTCCCTGCTTTTAAACCGATCCATACAGTTTGATTTACGAAACATGAAAACTTGGGAGATGCTTGACGTTGTCAGGGATGTATGACCTTTCTGACGCAAACTCAACTGTGGTGGTGGCACGTCCCCCGCTGTGACAACGGGGTGACAGAAACCCGAGCAGCAGCGTGTGAGAGGCTGAGGCCGCAGACCAATTCCACATGAACATCTAGAGCCATAGGCCGTTAAGGCAGCTAAATCCCGATAGCGAGGTGCATCCTGGCCATGCGCAGCTGCCCAGTTCTGGCAAACCATCCGTGGGTAGACACCTGCCAGCTTGAGGTTTCTTCCGGTTCGTGGTGGCCAAAGTCAACGTCAGGCGATGATAGCACTTGTAGACCCTCTGTTGTTTCTGAACTCGGTCATCGTGTAGAACGTAAATGTTATTTGAATTCGGACTTCACAAGTCTCCCACAGAAGATCAGCCAGATGCTTAACCGGAGCAATGTCGTAGAGAATGAATGGCATTTGTGCAGTGTCCCCCCTGGCGAGGGATTTTCAATGACGCGATGCGGGTGTTGTGCAGGCTTGGCTCAGAGATGAACATTTCTCGAAGCGTCACCGATGTGCCGGCGATGGGATAGAGCAGAATTTCATGCCCACCCAGCAATGCCAAACGGGGCTGCTAGCGCTGCAAGGTTTGAAACAAATTCAACAACGTTTCGCACGGCGATGGTAAGCTAAGCCGATATGCATTGACGTGGAGTTAAGCATTCAGGTACCACGTTGGCTCTGCAACGCAGATGTCGCAGCTGCAGATTGGCCAGGCCCTTGGCCTAAGGCTGGTGCGGGCAAAGCACATCGGCGGCCTTGGCTTTCGAGCCTTTACCCGTAACGATTCTGCTTGTGATGTCCACCCAAGAGCGTAGATTTGGAAAGGAACGGCCCAACTGTTCGCCGCTGAACGAGCGCTGACCATCTCCGTACCTGAGACGGCTGCATCGGTCTTCCTATTGCGTGCTTGTGGAAGTGTATGTGCGTTTCCCAGCAGCAGGACAACCGATCTGTGGCGTCAAGCGGCCGATGACTGGATGCTTGTGTCTCATTGGTGTTGGCCGTGGATGAATTCGCCGGAGTTCAGATGACGTTTTAAACCACTACTGCCATCTGCACGCGATGTTTCTTTTCGCCTTGACTGCCCCGCAAGCTTTGTCGTAATGACACTGATGCTTGACAGTAGTTCAAGGTTTGTGCGCGGGAAGGCTAGATCGTTACGCGCCAGGCTAGACCGTCTACAATGCTTCGTTCAGTCCGTGTTAAGGGAGCTGTCATGTTTGAGGGTCGTAGGTTTCCTGGGTGCGGAGCAGGTCAAATGCAACTGATGACTGCACATTGCGTGCTTGAAACACTCGCAGATCAGCAAGTTCGACGTCGCTAATTCGCTTGGTTCTCTCTCACAAATCGCTTCTTTAGAGCTAGCAACCAGGGCGATTTGCTCCAGGACGCCGCCTAGCAGCATTGTTAGAGACACTGAAACTTGATATTTAGAAGTGAAAAAAACTCACCACACGCTGAAGGACGTTAAACGCGCCGAGGAGACTACAAACGCGCCAAGAGACGTTGAATTTTGCAGATGACCTAACAAGCTCAGCAAGGCGCCTCCCTGATTTCTTGGTGCTTCCCTAAGAACGCCTGGATCCTTGCTAGAAGGACGTCCATCCCTGAGCTCCGCGTGCCTATCTGGCGAATGAATTGCTGCGGAATATGGCTTTTGGCGGTACAGTCGGTTAGTGCTGACGACATCTTCAGCCACGTAGGAACTGGTAGCTGAGCGGCTGATATGCGCCTAACAACAACCAAGCGGGGAATCCAGGTTGTTTGGTCTTCATAAGAGGAGCGACAACCTGATCAATGGCATCGCTATTCTTCATCATCCACGGAGATGCGAGACTGAACATCATTCCGCAGGTGTCTTGGAGCAACATGGCGAATCATGAGAGCCTCATTCATGATGCCGGCCAGAGTAGGTCGACCGTGCTTTTGGCTGCGGCCACGTTCTTGATGGTTCCTCTAGCAGTCATTCTCAAAAGACTTCTTTTTCCGACGTTTGACCCTCGAGAGCCACCGATCCTGCGGCCTAAAGTGCCTTTCTTTGGCCACGTTGTATCGCTTGTAAAAGAGGCAGCGAATTTCAATAACCGTCTCTAGTAGGTCCCAACAGAGGCAGAAGACCGTGGTCGTCGTTGACTCTTCCTGCAGTAGAGAACACAAGATGCCGATCTGCACGTTGCCCATGCTGCATGGCAAGATGTATCTCATAAACTCTCCGGCTTTAATCGCAGCAGCAATGCGTACAAGCGACATTTCGTTCTTCCCTATCGAGATGGAGGCCACGGCTTCGATTCTTGACATGCCGCCTCATCACCTCAAAAGGCTCGGCCCAGAGGTCATCCATCACTTCGGGAAGACGATGGCCACAGCCCTCATGAAACAGCCACTGCATGCCATCAACAGTGCTTCGCTAGGATACTGCAGTGAAGTTATGAATGCCATTGGCGCAGGTCCGAAGAAATTACCTGCTTGGGATTGGATCCAAGAGGTCATGGCCATGGCTGCTAGCAGAGCGCTGTACGGAAGGCATAATATGTGGGATATGGAAAAGTTCAGGGACCTCTGGTAAGTCGAAGCAAGTCCATGCAGCCAAAGCTGAGTCTGACTTTGCTATAGGACGTTCGACGACAACTTGGCCATCTTGGGGGCCAACATAGCCCCGAAGCTGCTTGCTCCCAAAGCAGTGGCAGCTCGTCAACGTATGAATGCCCTGCTGCGGCCGTTCTACGTTAGCCATCTGGATGATAGCCCCGACGTTGCGAGCATTGTGAAGGAACGCGCAAGGTGCCTGCGGGACGTGGGAATACCATCTGAGGATCTCTCGAGTATGGAGTTCCTGCTTCCTTGGGCCGCCACAACGAATACTATACCGATGACGTTCTGGTTTTTGATGAATATCTTCGCCGAACCAGAATATGTCGACCAGGCCCGCCAGGAGATTCTAGAAATCACAGAGATTGTCGAACGGGAAGACGGACGACGGGATGCGACTGTCAACACTAGAGATCTCGAGCCGCGGTGTCCCTTCCTCATGGCCTGCTATCGTGAACTCCTCCGATTATACGTCGCCCAGGTCTTCAACCGAAGAGCAATGCAGGATGTTACTCTCGAGGATAGCGACGGTCGTCAATACTTGCTGAAGAAGGGCACCAATATGCAATGGGCTACTAGTGTCATCCATCTCATGCCGGATATCTGGGGCGACGATGTTACGTCGTTCAAACCTGAGCGCTTCCTCAACTTGACGCCGGAGGAGGAGAGACGGAGACGGGGGTTCATGCTGCCGTTTGGTGGAGGCAAGCACATGTGCCCCGGCCGGTTCTTTGCCCAGACCGAGATTGTAGGATTCGTCGGTGCTCTGGCACTCGGCTTCAATATCGAAGACGTCAAAGTTCCCCCGGCGGGTGCGCCGACGTTGGCAGGTGCGGCAAGACATCCAGAGCGGGGCCGCCGGAATGACGAGATTGTAATCTCAAGACGCATAGGATGGGAGGACGTCAACTGGCAGTTCGCATGTTGATTCGTTCAAGATGTAGCAGCCAGCAATTGGGATACCTGTCCGTCAACTGCCGTAGATATCGAAAGGCATCGTTGACAAAAGCCAGTGGCGGGAGTAATACGCATGTCTCGGCTGACGAGCATCCATTCGAGACCCAGTGTGGCTCTCCAACGTTAGCCATTGGAGGTCAAAGTGGTTGCAGCCACCAAGTGGCACCCCTGTCAATCCCCGGCGTCATGCGTCAAGCTGTCAGTCAATAAGCTGCAGTGCAGATAGCGATGTATGGCGATTGGTAGAGGGGTATAGGCGATGGCGAGTGACGAGCTGGACGCAGTGCAACGAAGCATATCAGACGTGATTGCGCCAGCCAAACAACAGGCGGTTGGCAGTCCGGAATGGTCGATCCTGTCAGACGAGCCAGCCAACCAGGTCAGGTCAAGGTCACGTAGACGCGGTCCGTTGGTGATGCGACGCAAGGATGCGGAACGGGGGCCGGACAGTATTCGACGACCTCATTGTCTGATTAGATTGATAGACGGGAACAGGCGGGCGGGCTGATCTCGAGCCGTTGGGGAGTCTCGATTCGACAGCTGGGCGGAACAACGCAGCCGTGGGCCGGAGATGCAGGCGTCACGGTGCTCCTGCAGTTTGTTCAAAGTTTTTCAGGCAGGCGTGGAGCAGAGTGGGCTCGAGACTCGGGGTTCTCTCAAGGATTGTTGCGAGGAAGTGCTATCGGTGAAGGAGATGGCGCAAATCCGCGACCTTTTGCGCAGCTCACCGCCCTATGGTGCTGGGGTGGTGATGACGTCCCCTGCAATTTGTTGCAGATGGTACCCGAAACATGCTGAGCCTGGTGTTTGCGCTGGCAATGGGCTGCAGCATTGGGTACGAACTGAGGGGGCCGACTGAGATGAAGTGCGGGTTGCAACTTGGTGACTGTCACTTTGTTGGTGGGTTGGCACGTTGGCTGTAATCATGTTGTTGGCTGTTTTGTTTGTCCGTTCGGTGGTTCCCGGACGACGATGCACCGAAAGAAGCGTCTGTTTGTTTGCCTATCCGCACCCAGGTAGAGCCGGTAGTGTTTAGTGACAATGATAGTGGAAACGATAAGACGATAATCTTTCGAGAAGAGTTCTTCGCCCGGGTCAGTGGAATCAAGGCCGATTGTCGGCAGGAGCCCAAGTGGAGTGGGTTTTGCCGAGGAGCTTCTCTCAGCTCCTTCAGTGTTCCTTGGAATAGTTGTGAGGTAAGAATTGGCCGGCAGGCGTGGCCAGTGACACCTACTGATGAAGAGCTTTTTTCTTCCCTCCAAGCTGCGGCAGGTAGACCGTGGAGCAGCTGCCTATCGCGGAACCTCCTGCGGGTCACAGGTACAGACAGATTGAAGGTGCGCCATCTGGGGTGGGAAGGAACCAACCCAGGGGGGAGGGGGTCTGTGTGGGGACCTTCCCAATCACAATGAGAACCGACATGGACCGCAGACAGACGGGAGGAAGCAGTAGGGTCACCGCGAACTTTTTTTTCCTTCCTTTTGGCTGTGACGGAAGCTCCAGTCCTCTGCGCCTGCCGTCGCGTTCACGTTGCGTTGTGTTCACTCGTCAGGCCCAGGCTTAGGCCCCGCAGCAGCCAGCAACCACGTCCAAGATCAGCCGGTGGGAGGGAGATACGACATGAAATTGTACCGGAGTCACGAGTGAGATGGTCTTGGGCAAAGCAAGCAAGCAAGCACACACGGCACGGGTGGCCCCGAGTTGGCGGCGGCGGCTACCTTCCCAAGCTTCCCTCGGGCTTCTTCCCGGCCCATGATCGCGCACCGCGCCAATCCGAGTGCATCTTTCCCATCTGCACCGCAACGGAAATGTCAGTCAACCCTCCTCGAGAAAAAGAGAATGCGACACCCTTACACACTGGATGACATGTCCTGCCCGCCAGCATCCGTCACAAATCACGAGAAAGCAAAGGACAACAAGAGAGCACCCCAAAGTCTGCGCGCTTGTGTTACGACCCCCGCTTCCTCAGCCCAGGGCCCAGCGGTAACCCATGGACGGGGAAGCAACAGGTCGGGTGGTTGGGGCCCTAAACCCTGCCGGGAGGAGGGTGCCCCTGACACTCTGACGCAGAGCCGAATGGAACGGACGCCCAACATCTCTCTCATCACTCCAGTCTCTGATTCCCGAGGGTCCAGAAGGGGACCAGAGAAGCGTGAGCGTCCAGGGAACAGCCGCACGGGAGCCCTCTTCTTCTTCTCATCTGGCGGCAATCGAAGTCGAAGCACCAAGGGTGCAGGTCAATTCTCACTCTCTGCGACGCCGCCCTCTGCACCCTGCCATGGCCATGACCGCACGCTTCCCTTCCCGGCCCGGCTGGGTGCACAGCTGATGCAAAGAGCGAGTCTCCCAGGCACAAAAACACAAAATTGGCGATCCGGTCATTTGGTGCGTCATCATTGGCTGCGCAAGGCCCGGGGCAGACCAGGGTAGCAGTCTGAAGGGGGGAAAGCTAACTGCTACCTCACGAGTCGGATACGTACCGCCACCGTCCTCGGCCTTGCAAGAGCGCCCTCCAGACCAGGATCATCTCGTCAGGCTGGCTGCCGCTGCTGTTCGCTATTGGTGATGGCCGAAGATCATTCAGCACCCCAAGGAAGCTGCCAGGTGAGCTGAACTCTGCCTCTCGTGTCAGAAAAGTTTTTGATGCTGTCAACAGATAAATAACTTTTATGATACACAACCTGTCTTGTGCTGTACTATGCTATGCTGTTGGTACTCGACACAAACCCGTGCCTCCTCAAGCAAAGTGACACGAAACATCCTCGTGCAGCTGTGCGTCCGCCACGAGGAATCCCAAGCATGGTGGCCGCCAAAACCTTCAACTTCAAGCACGCCCTGGAAATGAGGCAGGCGCCAGCAAACATTGGCATTCCCGCAGACGGAACACCACAGAAGCCTCTGTCTGCAATTTAGTCTTTTTCGATGCGCATATCTTGCATCGGCAGTGCCGCCGGCAAAGGCAGACGTTGTCCACAAACGTGAACTGCATCGACAGATACTTGATGGAAGAAGATGGCCAACCAACAGTTCTAACTTCACCCACTTGGTTGAGATGCGCCTTCGCCTGTTACAATTCAATATCGCCAACAGCGGTAGCCATCACCAAAGTCGCCATGGCTGTTAACTGGACCTTCGCATCCTAATCACCGCATCATGCTTGTGTCTGTCGGCAACACATACCTTTCCGTTGGCGACCAACATACACGAGGAAATGACCTAACCGGATTCTACTTGCTTCTGAGTAGCCGAATGATTAATTACTGTTTGTTGGACAGAGATGCGGACTCGTGCTCCGGCAGAAACAGAAACACTGGCATAGGCACAGACACTCGTCAAGACACGCCACCTTATTACCCCAACTCGTGCCTCCATTCCCCTTCCCTGTCAGAGAAAAGGTAGATGCTCCGCACGAGCACATGAAGCTTGGCTATCGAATGCCACACTAGAGGAGTCGCACACCACCTTCACAGCTCTTCTCGGCTCTCCACGCCATCAATACAAGAGACGAAGGACTGGAAAGCGGCGCGAATCAACAGTCAGCCAGCCAGAGACCAGCAGCGACAGGCCACAGCCCTTCCCGCGCCGCGCGACTCGCCCGAGCCCCTCGCCCTGGAACCGGGATCATCTTTCTTCACTGGATCAGCAGCAGCATCAGCAGCAGCCGGGCTGCTTCACGTCAGGTCGCGCCCGCCATCCACCCATCCACATCTCCATCTCTGTCATCCCGCCGTCGCTCTTGCCGTCGCCCATCACCGCTAGTTTCCTGCTTTCACTCTACGTACCTTACACCACCTTTCCTCATCCTGCAGCTGCAGCTCCCGCATTCCCCATCCAACATTCTGCATCTGTTTGTGCCCCTCCTTCTTGTGACGCCCGTCGAGTCGTGCATCTTGCAGCAGCTATGCCACTACCATCGCCGTCACCGCATCACCACCATTCTCAGTTGTCACCACTCGACTAACACCCATATTACTCACAGACAACGTACAAGACTTGTCTTGCAGAAAAGCGCATCGACAGCTGTCCCGGCTACTACGACTCTAGCACTGCTGCTGTTTCCCCACCCGCATGAGGTGCCTTGGACCTCAGATGCTTGATGCCAGCACTATTGCCCAACGGACAGGCACTAACAGCCTGCGGTCCGCCTCTTCCTGCATAAGCTTAGGGTCCTCGATCGTCTCGCACACGTCTTTGTCCCTTGCGCAAGATGCTTGACGCTTGTTCTCCCCTCATCTGCTCCCTGCTGCTCCCCACGCCGTCTCGTTCCCTCTCGTCGTTGTGCCTCCTGTCAGTGACCACCACAAGTTCTGCGTTCGTCGCGAGACGCGCCACCTTTGCAGCTTCACCCACCCTGCAGAAGCAATTACCATCACGACTCAATAAGCAAACGGAAGTTCAGCCACACGGTATTACCCTTGTGGAAACCTAGACAGTTGGGTTTTGTTATGCTTTTTGTTTATTTTGCTTTCGTAAGCTCTATACTACCAGATATTTCTCAATCGGCGCAAACCGCATGGCCACAGACCTTGCAGCGAACCGGCTGGATATGTTGAAGGTGGAAATCCGACTTCAGCAGAAAACAACAACGCCGATTCCCTGACCGACACACCACACACAAGACAGGGGCCCAGGGCAAGAAAAACAACCCACCCCGGGCGCGGCGCATCGACATCATCGTTTCCCATCAACGGGGGCCACCTGTCGCACTAGCGCGAACGAACCTCCCCCGGTATCCCTGTCGCGTTCCGGCTGATTTGCGCCCATTTGCCAGCAGCGGCCCCATGGTCACGCAGCCACCAAGTCACCAAGACACACACCACAGACAGGGTCCCTGTCCATCCCCGGCCGAGCGACCAGCAAGACAAGAGGGCCAAGAAGAAAAAAACGAAAAGTGAGGTGTGAGCACAAGCACAAGCTGCTCAATGCCAGTAGCCGGCCAGCCCAGCTCCACCGAAACAGGATCCGACCAGGGGAATCCAAAATAATTCTGCCGTCCGTGTAACAACAGTGTGTCGCGATCCTCTCGACCTTCTCGACCCTTTCTCCTCTTCCACCTTTCTCGCTACTCGCCAACCCGTCCAGAGAGAGAGCCTCATCCCAGCTCCCCATCCTCTCAAACCGACCATCGACGACTCCATCGCCGTCTTCTCCAAAGGTCGACTTTCACGATACTCGCGATCGCCTACACTGAGTGCCTCGTCGCCGTCACTCAGACGCACGTTTGCCTATGCAATCCACCTTGTGGGCTTTGAGCTAAAAACTTCGGCGCGATGGATCCAAGACAACCGCCACAACACCCCTTCTCGCGCAATGCTGCATCGCAATACAGTCGCTCCCCTTTCCCTCCGAACCAAAATCAACCAGCGACTTCAACACCAAACCAGGCTCCTTTCCCGACCGCATCGTCACATCCGCCGCCTACTTCGAACCCTCCCTATGCCGAGCACCAGAGAAGAACATCCGAAAACCCCTACTACGGTCAGGGCCCGAGGTCATATCCTCAAGAACAGGGCTCTGGTCCTCCTCAACCAGGCCACTCTCGACATGCGAGTGCATCCTCGTTACCTCCCGGCCCACCGATGAACAGAAACATGCCGCCGCCGGGTTCTCCTCCCCAGCCGGGGAATCCACAGCCGCCGTCGCATCAAATGGGTCATTATGGGCTACCAGCGCCGCGAGGTCCGCCTCTCAATGTTGGTCCTCCGACCTCGTTTCCCGGTGGTCGCGAGCTGCCGTCGTTAGCATCAATACCGAGGACGGGAAGCACCGGAAGCTCCATGTCAATATCTTCAATGCTTGGGGGACCACCCCCGGTGCCCAGGGACTCTCAGCCTCCCCCTTCGCACTACCCTCCTCCGGCGACCTCTGCCAGCTCCGGGCCGACGTTTGCACCGTCGATCCAGGCGTCGCCTAGAATGCACTCTGCGTCTTCCGAGTACCAGCCCTTCAGGAGACCTCAAACACCTGAGCATGCTCGTCCTTACGATCCGAGAGGTAGTGCCGCAGCATCGCCGCAGGGTGCGTATTCTACAACACCGGAGATGCAGCGATACGGTACACCACAGGCGTACCATCAGCGGGGACCCTCCGCACAAGATGGCAGAGACCCCAGCCGAATGCCCCCGGGCCCTCCCCCGAGACCTACGAGCCAGCCCAAGTCTTTCGCGAGCATGCCTCCGAGGCCTGTTGACATGGGGCGTAACAACGGACCGGAAGAGATGTATGCTCGTCGCGAAGAAATGCCTCGAGGTGCAATGGAATACAACCCTGAGAGGCCCGGTCTGAAGCAAATGAATTTTGACGAACGCTACCGCGCCGAGCGCGAGCGCCGAGAGGAGTTTGAGTTTAGGGAAAGAGAAAGCAGACAACGCGCATACTCGGGGGGCGAGGGAGGACGGGGACCTCCACCGCCGCAGGGCGAGTACCGTCCTCAGGAAGTTCCGCGTGGGCAGCCTCCGCCGTTCAGTCGCCCTCCTGAGCACCGAGAGCAAGGGCCGTGGCCACCGCGGCAGCCCCAGCCATTTGAGCAGCAATCCCGAGTTCCGTACGACCCTGCTGGCCTTCATCCGCGACACCACGAATATCCTCCCACCTCAGCGCCAGGCTACCCGAATCAAGGCCATCCTGCGCCGGCTCCTCAGTACCCGCAGCCGCCTCCAGGAGATCGCTATCCCCCACAGGGTCATCCCCAACAGCCTCCTCCCGGTCAACAACAAGCGCCTCCGCAGCAACCCTTCGATTCTCCTGAGCGACAGCGAATAAGTCATCTCCCTCCTCAAGCGCAGGCGCCTCCGGCGCATCGTCGCCCCGTGGAGGAAGGCCCACCTCCTCCGTCGGTTGCGTACAATGCTCCACACGGCACTCCAGCGTTCGTTGACTCGCCTCGTAATCGCCCGGTGGAGGAACATCCGAACAATGGACAGAGGCACTTGCTGGCGGTTCAGGAGATCAGCCGCAAGGGCCGAGTATCCCCTCTGCCGCAGGCAGTGCAGGGGGCACAACCACAGCTGCCTGGCCCTGCAGGAGAGCCTGGCATCAAGAGCGAATTTGGACGCATGTTTTCTGGTATTGGCAGTGGTGTGACCGGGATTGGTGTGTCTAGTCCAGTCACCGCTGGAGCGCAGTTGCCATATACCAATGCAAGCCTTGCCCGTCGAGACGAGACGGACGGTCCGGCGCAGGACTCTGGGCCTGACGCTGCGCCCAAACCACCAGCCAAGGGCAGGAGGAGGAAGCTCAAGGAGGAAGATGTCAAAGGTGATGAGGAGAGCACAGGGCGCCTCACACCAGTGGGTCGGGCTAAGCGCCCCAAGACTCATCAACACCACCATCACCAGTACGAAGTATCATTATCCCAAGTAGAAGAGACCCGGTGTACTAACCATGATTGCCCTATTAGCCATCATCATCACCATCACACCCATAATCATGGCACTGACCATGCCAACGTTCCTGCACCTATTGGTGTCACCCCTTTTAAGAACGTCAAGGGAACCACGCCGGTTCCATCGCCTACAGGGCTTGCTAAGGACTTGCCGACCGCGCATCACCACCACGTCCCGCGGCCAACAAACCAGCATACTCACCAGGTGAAGGAGGCGCCAGCCAAGCAGGCTGTGCAGAGTCCGACTGCAGTGATCCCTCCCAAACCTAAAACAGTCGTCAGCTCCAAGGCTGTATTGGAATCGGTCGCGCATCTCCCGCGGACTCACCTTGGCGATGTGCTGTACGAACCCAAACTGAAGCCGGCGAGACAAGTGCCGAACGTCCCCTCTTCTCGTGGCTTTTCGACGACACCTACACCTCTGCCATGGGATATGATCAAGAACAAGGAAAACTGCACCCTGACGGTCAAGGTCCCTAAGGTACACCTGACCCCCTCCGCACGAGAGGAGATTACTGCACGGAGAGCAGTATGGGGAACAGAAGTGTATACCGACGACTCGGACATTATTGCTGCCTGCATTCATGGCGGCTGGATTCGGGGAGAATGGGCCGACGACATCGATGCGGACATGCTAGACCTGGATCGTGGCCTAGCCGCCCCCGAGAAGGAGGTTCCAGCGAACAAGAGACGCAAGGAGAAAGAGAAGGAAGAAAAGGCCAGACAAGAAGCGAACGCGGCCACGTTCCTGGACAAGCCACCCAAGACTGGGCCCGTCACAGTCCCTATCGAACGCGACATGCACGTCACTCTCCTGATTCTCCCACGACTGGAGAAGTACAGTAGTACAACTCGATTCGGTATTCAGTCACGCGAGTTTGGTGGCCGCTACAATGGACGGAAGTCGATTCACGACGGCATCAGTTTCCAGATTTTGGGGATCCGCTGGGTGACCAACGGCGCCGGAACACAGAGCCGACTCCGAGGCAAAGGCCGTCGGGAACGCATGCGCAAGGCCATGGGAGAGATGAACGCCGCCAGCCGTGGCCTCAACGGTGCCGAGCTGGAAAAAGAAAAACAGCGCCTCGACAGGATTCGAGACGAGATCGTCTCTGGTCACTGGTGGAAACGAGATGAAGCACGCGAGAACGGAGCGGGCAAGGATGAGAGGACCCCTAGTGAGGGCGACAAGGAGAATAGGCCTGCCGAAGAGCAGCAAGGTGCTCGCGCAACCAACGGTGCAACCACGAACGGCGTGGCGTCGAACAAGGCCGACAAGATGGATCTCGACGAGAGCACGAAGGAGGTGAAGGCATCGGCGTCTTGAAAGTCGGAAGTCAATCTTGGATAACAGCATACTCTTGAAAAGCAGGCGAAGCAGCGGATGATTAAAGCCACAGGCATTGTAGGAGTAGTGATGATTATAATACCCAATTCCTTCGAGTACACGATTGGGATTTTCTTCTACGCTATTGGTATCTCTTTGTGACTCTGTCTTTGCATTGTTGTACAACCGCTATTCTTACAAGGTCGTCTCGCTATCGCCCTTGACTGCCCGTCACCATTCATTACGCAGGTGCCAAACACCATCTCAGAAGTCCGTCACACGGCCGTTGTAACTCCAATCGCCCCCAGACCCCCAGCGCAGCGGCTCCCTCTTGGGCCCGCCGACCTCGCCGGTGCGCGGGTTGACGTCGCCCTCGAACTCGGGCGGCGCGCCGCGGACGTAGGCCGGGTGCATCGTGTCCTCCTCCGAGGCGGAGATGGTCGGGTTGACGGGCTTTTCTTGGGGTTGCGCCTCTGCTGCTGCTGCTGCTGGTGTTGCGGCGGCCTCGGAGGATGTGGGTGTGGATGCTGCTGCGTCGGTTGAGGCAGGAGGGTTGGCGTACTCTTGGAAGGCGGAGGACACGGAGGCGGCGCGCTGGAGGCGCTCGAATTCGGCTTGTTGGTCGGCGGGCAGGCGGGGCGGGGCTGGGCCGCGGGAGAAGGTTGAGGAGGCGCGGGAGGGGATGGGCAGGCGGAGGATTGGGGTGCGGAGGCGGAGGAGGCGGGACATTTTGTGAAGTTGTGGTGCTTTGATGGGTTTCGTGTGTTTTCGGTGAGTGGTTGCTGAGGTTGGGTTGGTGGTTGTGGTTTTGAGGGTGGTTGTGGTTTTGAGGGTGGTGGTGGTGGTGGTGGTAGAAGTGAAGGTAGGAGGCGAAGGTCGGGAAGTTTTGGAGAGGATGGAAAATGTCATTGACCCGCGGCTTTTCGAATTTAAAGTGGGTCTGTCTTCTCTTTCTTGCTGCAGAAGCTTGGGCGCTGCGCCGGTGGCGGAGGGCGGATGGGGCCGAAGGTGGCCGATGCACGGGCCGTGTGAGGTGGTTTCTGGGGCCGATGTGGCGATTGTTTGACGGTTCCTTTGCGGAATCTTGGGGCGTTGACTTGGTTTCCATTCTCCACTCGTATTCTCGTCGGATCATGGATCTTCATTGCGTGATCGATGGAAGCATGTCAGCGAGGTTGACGTCGCGCAATTGTGCTGGGTGAAAGGGCTTCTTACGACTGGTCTCGGACCTGAGCTTGATCGGAGATGCCGCACGAGGGAGCTTCCGAATGCCCTTCGACGCTCTGGATTTCTATTTTGAGCTGTTCATGCTCAGATTTGAATGGATCTTTTGCCGGAATTGGATCAACTCCCTACTTCAGGCGCGACATTCATAGTATGTACTCACGCCGCGGCATTCGCCTCACCCACGCGCGGCCTATTATATGAATTACTGTGGTCTCTTATGTGAACAAACAAGCCAATGGCGGCATTGTGTGGGAATCTTCCGATTTTTCGAATACATAGGGCCGACCACAGGAGGGATAGCTGCCTTGTGACGAGACGCTATGCGATGCCTGTACTCCGCGCATGTGTTTCTTGTAGTTTATTAATTCAGTGCTTGAAGCATAAGAATGCTTCATCGACTACAGTGACAGCACCGTTGATCGAATGCATAGATATTTGTTGGGGTGCCGTATCAGGAATTGATTGGTCCAGCAACTCGGATACAGTATTATAATGAGACGACGATGCTCGACGAAGGCAATGCTAGATGGCAATGTTTACGATCATAAGGGTCGGATCTGATTGTCAGTGGGATTCAAAGACTGAGAGCTAGACGAACCTAATAGTAATTAGTCAACTGAGAAGTTCCGAGAACGAACCTGAGAACGAAAGTCGAGTTGGGTGGCGCTGGGAGAGTCTCAGCAGCCCGTGAAGTCGTCTTTTACTGACACATCAGCAAGATTAGGCGCATAATAGTGTTGGCTAGGTTGGCGGGTTGAATACAAGGATCTCATTCTTCTTCTATCGATACGTATCATTTGCTCTATATGAGTTTCGGGTAGCTTTAAAAGGGCAACCTTTAATCATCATGTCTGCCATGAGTGATTGCAAGAAGATAGAAGATCCAGGAGCGCAACCCGTGATGAGAAGACTTCCTTTTTTTACTCGCAGAGGACTATGCAATCGAACCGATGCTCTTCGGGTACTTCGCGTCGTCTGCAGTGTATGAAAGCAATCTCTTAAAAATAAGTGCCGGGCTGGAAACGGGGATCAGAAGCGCTGAATTGAACAGAGTTTTAAGTGGTGCAGGAATCTTGCAGGTGTGGTCTTTGACTTGCAGGCAGACAGCACATCGTTTTCTGCGTGATTCTTTTCGAAGGAGACTACAAGGTTCATAATTACAGGTCGGTAAGCTGTCGCGTCGAAAGACTCAGCCCGGCTAATAAATAGTTCCTCAACTCGGCTGCGAAGGCCCTTCTCCCCCAGGTCTTCAGGTTCGTACGCGCATCACAGCTTATAAAAGATGTAGTAAGATCATATCATAATTCAAGCAGCCAATGCGACGTGGAAGTTGTAGCTTGGATGCGCCATTTCACGATCATGCCATTTATGAATATTAAGGAGTCTGAAGAGGGACAACCAGCATAAGTGCTCCTAGAACACATCACCCGTCTACCTGGAAACTAGTCGCCGTCACCGACGTTTTGTATCTTTCCTGAATGATACCCTGTTGAACGTGACAAGTAAGGACGATAATGGAGGACATAATAATACTTATACGGTATACCGGATAATTTTACGTTCGTGCAGGCTGAGATCTTTCGCGAAACCACCTCTGTATGAGCTCGCCCTAGATTGGAATGCCCCGAGGAAAGACCGACTGTGAATTCTGGAGAGAATCCTCAGTGTCCGTTGTGTTGCTTTTATGATGATTCACAGAACCGTGGAACTACCACATCTCTAGTCAGACTTACACGCACAACAACAAACCTCTAAATTAAAAGTTAATGTTCTGGTAAGCTGCGTCGATGAGGGTGTGTGAAGGAAATATACCTTCTAACAACAGCACCAGGTTCTCTATCTGCTTGACAGCATCTTTACTTATCACATTATGTTCTGCATAAAGGGAATTGTGAGTTCACTCGACACAGGAGTCGTAGCCATCACGCGTTGCATCTAAAGGACTGGATGGCTTAACAGCTTGAGTAGTTAATAAGGCCCTTTAAATTGATAATCAGTATGAAGCTGCGCTACTTCGAACGGGTCCAAGTCCAAGCAAAGTATATATAGGTATGAATAGTGATCTTTCAAGCACACCGCAGACATCAAGGCGCGCAATGTGGTTCACGAACTGATCCTGGATTGAAAAAGAGAAACGCCAGCCCACACAGTACAGGTCATACCTTACAACAGACCAGTCTATGAAGTTGACAGTTCCTACTACTCTGTCTTTAAGGTATTCAAGCAAATAACATAATACCAAGAGATCATAAGGACGGTATCCGCTCACTGAGGGAACTACCACATAGAAGACGGTCATGCTAACCCAAAGACTCGTGCGAGCGAACTCCATAATTGTCAGACTTTGCCTTTTCCACGTCTTGAAACCACCTGGCTTGGGCGTATATTTGCTTGGTTGTTACATATCTAATCCGTCATTATGGGCTTCTCTTTTATAGCTGGTCACGAAGCATCACACAGACCAAGTGGCGTGTTTTACAAGTTAGCAAAATCCGACGCGTTCATGAACCGCATAAAAGCCCCCCGACAGTGAGTAATTATGTTTCAAGAAAGGAAAAATCGACAAAGATTAAGAACCTTTGAGTCTGAAAATAAAGTGGCGAGCTGTGATCAACTTTGAACTATCTGGAAAGGGGAGAAGAGGCCATCCGTCAGGTTGCCCGCAAACGCAATGAGATCTAGCAGGAGTGTATTCAGTTGCAGTTTCGACGTAGAAGGAAAGGATAATGAGGGAAAATGCCGGCCGACGAAGAAAGCCACTCATCACTCATATGGTCAAGCCTTGATGTAAGACTCATGGTCGGTGACCTTGTGGCTAGCCAGGAGATGAGACGCCATCCTCCATGATGAAGAACACAGGGAAACACCAAGTTGCGAGATGTCTTTTAATTGTGCCGCTTCAAGGAACATGCAACCAGAAAACCGCGGTGGCTTATAAATACGTTACTGATTCCTATGCAGCTGCATACGAGTATGTTTGATTCTGGAAGCAGATAGCTGTAGTTTACATGTACTGGTTAACAAGACTGAACATGGTTATGGATAGACGAAGCTGTTAGACGTACTAGCGGAAGCAATCAATGATAATGGCGTGGGGCTCGAGTGTTACTTGGACAAGAGAAAGATCCGATTCGTCTGTCTACGATCGGTGGATAAGCTAGTTGAGAAGGTATCAACCAACAACCGCTCCATCTCCAACGTATTCATACGACTCATTCGAGAGCACCGGATGTCAGGGACAGCACACTGTTATGTGATCGAGTAGATGAGCCCGTTACGCATGTGAAGAGGCTCACTCGAGAACTGACATCAACTGCCGAACAGAATATTTCGCACTGAAGTGATCGGCGAGAATCATTTGCCCATTATTCTACTATCTTCCTGTGGTATTATATAAGTACCCAAGTTCAAAGCAGTACCCGTGCAGAGTCTTGCCACGCGTCACAGACTACATGCCGTGAAGGTTATTGCGGGCGGTTGAACGCATTGCTTCATATTTAAGAAGCCACGACAACGACTGTTGCGCCTCAACAACGCATATATCCTTCAGCTTCATGATCGTCTCATAGGGTTACAAGATTTCATGTACATGAGTTCCACATCCCGACAAAGATCGGCTGACGAGAAAGGGCGCCACATGGTTGTGCTCAGCTTGCGCTCGATGAGTTCACTGAATACGCGAGGGATGCGAATGACCGACGAAGACATCTTCAATATGCTTAACATTGTGAGTATACTTCGAATTCATCTTTCCTGTGGCTCCCCCAGACTGGAGTAGTCGCACATAGCGTTGAGCCGCTCGAGATGACATGAAGTACCTCACAGATCATTGTGTGGTGGCTAGAGTGCTTGGAGCGAAGCAAAAAAGAGCCGACTTATAAACACATTACCGATCTGTTTTTGGCGGAAGGTTTGATGGCGAAGTTATTATTTCAGTGATGTTGCCCGGCTTCGGAGAGGACGGCGGAGCGGAGATTGCAGGAGAAATATCGACCATGTTTGGTTGAGTTCATCCTCCAGTTCATCCGATGTAAGAACCCCGTCCAACCCATCAACAAGACAGCTCTCAGTAGCGGCCGTATCACAGAACTTCTCCTCAACCCAGCGTCAATCAATTGATGGGATATTCCCCATCTTTCCCCTTGGCCAAGCCTCCTAGACGCATCACACTGACTCTCACATGGCCTCTGGCCCGTTCCCGATCCAACCCTGTCCGCCACGCGATGGACGTCGATCCGAAGCGCTCCAATCATTTCATACCAACCGCGACCAGATTCCCGGACACCGAACCACACCCACCACTGCAAGTGTAAGCTTATTTGCTCGCTCGTCCCGGAGAATTTAAGCTTTGGACGTCCGTTCGGGGGTTGATGAGTGGCATGAGCGTGCTGTGCCTGACTACCTACCCACCCATCCGGCATGCGCATATCTCTCAACTGCCATGGCATGGTGTAAGCTGTGTATAGTGAAAGCGGGATCTTGCGCGCGCGTGTGCCTTTGGTCACCGGCATCCGCGCCACTACCCAACACCACCCCGCTCCGGGCCCAGCCTCCGTCGCGAAATCCCACCAATCCCCCACCCGCTCCGATATTGCGGACCTGGACTATGTTTCTTTCTGGCCCTGTTCTCCGGTCGCTGCCGTTGTATAGCCCGCAATGTGATGCCTGGCCTCCTTGCATGTGCGAAATCTTCGGACTGAAGAGCTGAAGTCTTCATGCTGTGAGTTGACGGCTACGCTCCGAGTCGCATCCACCGGACTACTGCCACCATCATAGACATCCCAAGACACCTCTCGCACATATAACCCCCCCTCTCCCTCTCCTCCGCCTTCCTCCCTCCTCTCCCACTCGTCAACCCACCCGTCTCCCACAATGCGTCTCCTCCCTCTCCTAACCGCCCTCCTGGGCCTGTTGCCCTTCACCGCCACGGCCTTCACCAACCCGATCCGCCGCCCCGGTGGCTCCGACCCCTTCCTGACCTACTCGGGCGACGGCTACTACTACCTCCTCTCGACGACCTGGTCGACCGTCGAGATCGCGCGCTCCACCACCATCGACGGGCTCAAAACCGCCGCCAAGAAGGTCGTCTACTCCTCGGGGGACTCCTCGCGCTGCTGCAACGTCTGGGCGCCCGAGGTGCACTGGCTCGGCAACCGGTGGTACATCTACTTCACGGCGGGGGGCAGCGCGAACCTGGATAACCAGCGGATGCACGTTTTGCGGGGTGAGTTCCCATCCACCATCCCCCCAAAGCCCGTGGGCATCTCGGGAGCGAAGAGACTAACACGAGAACAGGCGGCACGACCCCCTGGGACGACTACGCCTACGTCGGCCGCATCGGCGCCGACGAGTGGTCCATCGACGCCTCCGTCCTGCGCACCGCCTCCTTCGGCAACTTCCTCATGTACTCGTGCTTCCACGGCGCCGCCTACCAGTCCATCTGCATCCAGAAGCTCAACGACGACAACGTCTCCACCTCGGGCTCCGTCTCCCTCATCTCCCAGCCGACCCAGTCCTGGGAGAAGGTCTCGCACCCCGTCAACGAGGGGCCCGCGGCGCTCTACTTCGGCGGCAAGACCTACATCGCCTACTCGGCGTCCTACTGCTGGAGCGCGAGCTACTGTTTGGGTTTGCTGACCTGGGACGGCACGACGAGCCCGCTGAGCGCGAGCGCGTGGAGCAAGGGCAACGGGTGCGTGCTGAGCAGCGGGAACGGGCACTATGGCACGGGGCATAATAGCTTCTTCCAGAGCCCGAAGGGCGACCAGACGTGGATCGCGTACCATGCGACGGCGAACAGCGCGGGCGCGTGTGATGATAGTCGGTATACGATGGTGCAGATGCTGGGGACGCATAGCAATGGCAGCCCGAACTTTGGCACGCCTGTGGCGTTTAGTTATGTGTATGGGGAGCCGAGTAAGTAAGGGGGGCAGATGGTGAAAGGAGGGGAAGGGGTGATGGGAGGGGTTCTTGTATATACTTTCTCTGGGATTTGAGTTGCTCTGCCGTGAGGCCTTGGGGCTTGGAGGCTGCTGCGAGAGCATGGCTCAAATGTATTTATCAACATACGTATATATGTATGCAGGTTCCTTCGTTGACGCAAGTGCACACAGTGACTGGTGCTTTGATGGTAGATACTCTTAATTATCCTATTGCAGGCTCATTGCTCATGGCAATGCTGCCTTCCCCTTATCGTTGCATCGCATTATGATGCATAGCCGGGGCTCTGTTCTCTATATATGTACCATGATTAACTCCTGTTGGTCCTTTGTAGCCAAAGGTGTCCTGTTTCCAAAATAATTACGCCATCGCTGGTGTTTGGTATCATTCGTTCCTTCGTTGGCGTTTCTGTTGAACGCCGGATTCCTCGTCTAGCTGCAGGGTATCGAAACAAAGCAGCGAGGGCTCGTCCTAGATGTGGCCTTTGCCAACAACCTCTCGCTGGACTTCGACCTCTCCGCTGTCGGCGGTGAAGCGTCGCTCCAACACCCATCTTGTTTCGCCTTCATCTTCCTCTTTTATGTAAGAAATGCTATCAGCGGATCCCTTGTGCTTGTGACCCATGCCGGGCCTGCGCTGGGGCGTGGGATCAGTTCGGGGCACCAAGTTGGGGTGCATCGCGGTGTCGGGGCTCTTCATCCACAACCCCGAGTGAGAGATGGAGTTTGAGATTGACAGCTCATCCACCTCTTCCGACTCCATCACCGGCTCGAACGCAGAACTGTGGGTGAAATGGGGCGAATTCACGGCGACGGCCGGGCTAGCGGGGTTCAGGGAAGGCATCGGAGGAGTCGGAGAGCTTAGGGTGGGCATGGACATGGTAAGCGTGGGCGAGCCAGCACCGCTGCCCGCGTCCGAGTCCATGTCACGGCTCCTGATCGAAAAGGCCGAGTTCTTGCGGACGTGGCCATTGTGGATGCCCAAGATATCGCGGCTTGGAGCCGGGCCCCACGGTGAGCTCGCGCCGTCCCCTCTCTCAGATCTAGGAGAGCCCTCGCGGCTTGAGACCAAGCTGGCCTGCGATCCACCCCAAGCCCTTGAACGCAACTTCATCAGGGCCGTAAGACTCATATTATCCTCGCCATCAGCCATCATCACGAGCTGCGCCAGTCCCGGACTTTGCAGACTGGAAGGCCCAGAGCCGATGCCTGGTGGGATGCCTAGACTCATAATCGAGTTGCGGTTGGAGTATTCGGATCGTTCAGTGATGGGCGTCAAATTCGGCTCCCGCGAGATCATGCGGCCAGACTTGCTCCGACCAACACCCGAGGGCCCAAAGAAGCCACCGTTCGCGTACTCAAACGGCTTCTCGTCCGACCCGGTCGAGTTGTCTCTGCTGTGACGGCCCTCAATCGGCGCCGAGTAAAACCCGAATTCTTGACCGTACCAGCCGTCCTGATCGTTGGCAAGGGCACTAGCATTTGCCTCTGCGATAAAGTCGTCGTAGTCAACGTCGTAGTCATCGAGGTCTTCGCGGAAGCCGTTGTCATCGTCGTCATCAAAGGGGTAGTCGTCTTGGGGAGGCAGGCTGGACGACTCTGCCCCAGGCGACATGATCTCGCTAGGAGGCGGCGAAGAGTCCCGTCGGAACTTTCCATTAGCGGCAGCTTCGCATGCAGCTGCAGCAAGGGCGGCCTGATAAGCCTCCATTTTGCCCTGCTCCACGTTTGAAAAGCTCGACGTCATGGCGGAGGACGATTCCTCCTGACCCAGGTTTTCGCTTTGTCTCTTCGACTCCTCGGTGGACGGAGCTGGCATGCCCACACTCAGAGACGTGTGGGCAGTCGATGCTGTTGCATTGGACTGAGCGGAGAGCCTGGAAGTGCTGTCCGACACCCTCTTGCTGCTTTGAGGAGCAGCACCTTCTTGACCGTTGGTGTCCTGGACAGCATCTTCTTGAGCAGTATCGGTTTCCGCGGCGGGATCCTGGGCTACGCTTTCTTGAGCAGCAGTGGCGTTGGACGCAGCTCGAGCAGCCTGGAACTTGGCGAATACGCCGGGGAGAGGCCGGCCGTACTGATCTGTGTCGTCCAAGTCAAAAATCGACTCGTCGAATGTGGAGCCATCGCCCTCGCCAGCAAAGTCAAGCTCGTCCAAGAGACCATTATCGAAGTAAAGGTCATCCTTTTTGGGCAGCGGCGGCGGCGGTGGTGGGGGCATCGCAGGTGCTAACCATTGATTGTTCTGTGGCGCTTCCTGTGGCTTCTGATCCAGCTGCGCACCCTGCTGTTCTTCCGGCTGCTCTTCTTGAGGCTTGCTGCTAATGTTCAATCCCTGAATAGCAAGTCCATCTGCCGCTTCTGACATCTGTGAGTCCATGCTTTGGCCAGGGTAGTAGCCGGGAGACAACGAAGGATTCAGGTCCGGCGTGTCCTTTGAGAGCGCGAAGCCAATGACCCTCCCATCAGCATCTCTTGGTGTCAAGGCCAAACCAGCACTGTGTGGGCTAGTCAGCGCAGATGCAGGATTTGAACGCTGGAAGACGAAGCCTGCGAAGTTCTCCTGGTCGTTATCCGGGTCATTTTCGTCTTCCTCGTCCATCTCAACTTCGACCTCTGGCACGACATCGAGACCCAACGGATCAGTCCCGCCCGCATCAAAGTCCTCCTCGCCGTCAAGACCCAAGGGATCTGTGCCACCTGCGTCAAAGTCCTCTTCGTAGTCGTCGAAATCGTTGCTCATGGGTATCTCCTCCTCCATGCCATCGTCGTCCATCATAGCGTCGTAATCGAACTCGTCGTCAAAATCGTCAAACCTGGAATCGCGGTTCGGGTTGGGAGTAGGATCAGACGTTTTCCTCTCCAGCTCTCGCTGGCGGTGGCGTTCCTCGAGCAACTTTTCCGCTTTTGCGGCACCGACCATATCGAAGCTGAACCTAGAAGACGTACTTTTCATGTGGCGGGGCACGGAGGAGAGCACATCCTGACCAGACAGGGAGGCGCCTCTTGAGCGACCCGTTCTGGTGGAGGGCAATGTCTTGGACAGAATGGATGCAGCGCTGACGGACGGCTTCTTTGAGACAACAGAAGCAGACCGCGATGACGATGCCGTCGAGTCCTTAGGCGGGACATCGGGCAGAGGCTTGGAGTCGAGGTTCATGCTACTCCTTGCCTTTGTGGATGCGACGCTGCTCGACCCTGCAACTGTCTGGGAGATGACGCTGACGGAGCCAGACCGACCAGATTCAGACGCACTGCTAATATTCCTACCCTGGAATGAAGATGGTGCTGCGCTTTCCCTGGATGAAGTCTTGCCCAAGTCCAGCTTCTCTTCAGGTATAGAAGGCTGTGGCTTTGCGCCCGCCGCAGCGTTGGACGAGTCGTTCATAACGCTTCTCCTCGTTCGCGGGGCGCTGAAGTCGTGAACTCGTGTGCCTCTAATGCGCGGGTCGTAGGACGGCTCTCCCAGCCTGTTCCCTCCAAGAGGTAGGGGCGACAGATCAGGCGCATTCTGGCTTGTTTTCCTCCTCATAAGCAGTGTCGACATCGGGTTCTTCAGGAAAGGCAGGCCTTTCCTGCCCTTGGGGGCTTCGGTGCTGTCCTTAGCCATTCGGACGTTGGTCGGCTCGCTCGATAGTCTCGTTCCTGCGGGTCTTCGTCCAGTCGCAGCATAGTTCGGGGCGGGAGGCTGCGATTGACTCGGGCTGAGGTGATGTTGGTGCAGGTCGGTGGGCGTCGCGAAGGAGCTGCTGTGTTTTGAAGACTTCGTGGGTTGTGGTGGGGGTCTCGTTGGAGGGGCCGTATTTATCGGCGGGGGCGGTGCGGGCTTCGACTTTGAGAATTGAGTTTCGTGGCTGGCATAGTCGAAGGCAGTATTGGCCGCCGGATCGGGCGAAAGCGCCGCCATTTGTTGTTGTAATTGTTGTTCGTGTTGTTGTTGCTGCTGCTGGAGTTTCTGGAGCTGCAGGAGCTGGCGCTGGTCGAGCTGCTTGCGCAAGGCGACACCACCGACGAAGCCAGACTGGGAATTGTTCGGAGAGCGCACCGGGGGAGGCGCAGGCTGCTGCTTCTGAGCATATGTCTCCAACGTCAACTTGGGGTCGACGGAGGGTCTGTCAAGAGGCGAGGGCGACTCGGAGCCGGAGGAGGTGACGCGGGTGATGGGCGGCAGTGTTGGAGGCAGCGAGGAATTGGTCGGGGCGGCAGGCGACCGGGCGTCTGGGCTTAAAGCGGCATCTTGAACGAAGGGAGACTTCTGGGGAAGCGAGGGGTCCCACGGGGCGGGCGCAGAAGACTGCTCAGGGTTGGGCGAAGTGGGATTCGATTGCCCCCGTCGATGGAACCGCAGATGGGAAAGCATCGCGGCGAGATTGGGTTCGGGGTGGATGGATGGACCAGAAGTGATCCAATCCACTGGGCGCAGGGGTGGCGGGTGGTCGCAGGACAGGAAGCAATGGTAGAGAGACAAGAGGGAGAGGGAGAGAGAGAAGGTAGCTCAAACGAGCACAGGGCGGAGGTGGAAGTCGGAATCGAGGGATATCGCGGACGAGAAGCTATGCTGGCAGCCAGCCCAGAGAGGGTAGGTGAGCGGGTGGGTTATTGGTGTCAGGCGTGCAGTCGACGTCAACGGGGAGATCAGTCTTCAGCCTCCTGTATGAGACGCGATCATCTCCTTGCAGGCCGGGGCGCAGTCATAGTTTTGCTCAGGGCAGTCTGTTCGGGATGAAAGAAAGTGTGCATGCGCTTGGTGGGTGAGAGTGTTGGTGCGGTGGTGTCAGATGGAAGAAGAAGTGCGGGCGACATTCGTCATGGGAGGTTGTCGCAGTTGGATGGAAGAAAAGAAAAAAAGAAGGCAGCAGCCGGTTGCTTACTTACCTTACTTGGGTTGGTTACCTTGGGTATTTGGTGTTGGGTAGCCTGTAGGTAGGTAAGGTGGTATTCCAGTGGTATTGCTGCCCACCTTCCAATTGCTGCTGTCCGTCCAGTCCAACCCGGCGCATGCCTCCCATGTCGTCTCTGTCTGGGCTGGCGGCAACCGGCTGCTGGGACCCCCAAACTGACTGGAACCCAGAAGCTGCACCTGCTAGCCGTGCGTGCCTTCCCTTCCATTTACACCGGGCGCTCACCTCACTCAAAAAAGAGTACGTACCGGCCGTTCCAAAGGACCAAGGACCAATGCCCAAGGACAGGGACCAAGGACTCGATTCCGCCGCCCGGGCTGGCGTCCTGCAGTCAGTGGGTGTCAGTCGCGTCATCTTGGATCGTTGGGAGTCCTGCTAATGTAGCGCAGGGTAGGCATTCTGCCGGTTGGGTCTCTCTCTGGTGCTGGTGAATAGGTAGGTACAGATATGGTTTGCCTCGCCTTGGGTTGGCCCCTGACCTGGCTGCATCCTGCACGACTTCGGGGACTTTGCATCCTGAATGCCCATAGCCAAGGCCATTTCGTCAAAGATAGGCAGATACTGACGGGACAATGAGCGTCGCTTGCTTGCTTCGACAGTGCACCTTCATTCCCCCTCCTTCTGCCTGGCAACGCGGGTCGCAATCACATCAGAAACGCTCCGATGCAATCTAACTGGGGCCTGATTGGGCCGCGAACATCCACATCCACATGTCCGTCCGTCCCAGCGTCTCCATCCAAATCCATGGATCCATTGACAAGACGGGACCCATTATCAGCGGCCCCCATCTTCAACCTCCCCGAACCGATGCATGCATCTGCTCCCATCTCTGCCTCTGCCTCTGCCTCTGCCTCTGCCTCTGCCTCTGCCTCTGCCTCTGCCTCTGCCTCTGCCTCTGCCTCTGCCTCTGCCTCTGCCTCTGCCTCTGCCTCTGCCTCTGCCTCTGCCTCTGCCTCTGCCACGTGAACGGCGCCGTCTAACTTCCCGTCTCAAACCCCAACGCTCACCGCGTGCTCACCGGCCGTGTCCCATAAACTTTGGATGCTTCCAGCTGCCCGGGACCTTTTTTTCTGGATTTGACTCTGGAACGCACAAATGTCCGGACTCAGACTAGAGCAGAGACAGAGAGAGTCCAGGGGACAACACACACAGTTCACATTGAAACCGCAAATACACCGAGCAAATGGGAAATGAAACGGGCAAAAAAAGAGAGACAACAGCATTCTTGGACGTGGTTCCAGACCGAAAACAGCACGTCCCATGACGCCCCCCTTCCTCCTTGCCTGCCATGCAGGATTTCTTTCGAATTGAGGTTGGAGTATGTCCCAGCCACGACCGAAGCTGCCTTGCTCCTTTATTTTTCCGGATCGTGGGGGTTGCAGACGGGGACACAACATTGCATGGATGAGGCATTCTTGGGTATGGAGATGTCTGCACAGTGTGCGTAGTACGACTTACATAGATTCGAACCGGGAGGTTTCTCCAAACACACTGTAGGCGGACTGTGGCCCTTCTCCCAAGATCCATCCACCTTCAACCTTCTGCCATCCATCCGTTACACGTCGCAGCAACGGGAGCTTGCAGATCATGCCATCATCCCAACATTCGCTTCCAATCATCCCCAACCCGCCTCGCTCCAGAAAGCAACGAATACCAAGCCAGCTGAACATCCAGCCCACATCCCTTGATCAACGCCGTCTGTCCCCAATGGCGAGACATCCGAGTCTCGCCATCCCCCCTCCGTCTCATCCATTGCATCAATCACCAGGACCTCGAAATCGTCCATCCCGCACTGACGACCCGCGGCTGGCTCCTTCCGACGATACTCACCCCAAGCCGCCGGAACCGTCCCGAGTGGGAAGGAAGCATCGAATCCTTTTGCAAGCATCCAACGGCGCCTCATCCCGTCGTCCTCCTCAATGCTGACCCCAGGTCACGCTCCAACGCAAGGGCTCATCAGCCTATCCTCCGACACCCCGCAAAAGAAGAAAAGACCTTTTGCCCTCAGGGACCTCTCCGCCAACGACATGTCAGACAAGCATCCGTCACAGGACCCCTCAGCTGTAACGCCTCGTCTCGCTGCTAGATCCCAGTGGCGTCCGCCGGCGGGCGCGCCGTTTGGCCCGGGAGCCGCGGCCGTCGTCGCTCTAACAATCTACCCGCGACGCGCCCGATCGTTTCCCCCGACGCGTTGCGTAGGGGAGGGCTTTTCTCGGTACATGCCGACGTCAGCCTTTCAAGGCGTGCCTGGGATGAAGGATCTCGGAGAGTTGACGGTGCTATTCTTGTGAAAGTCCACGGCCGGTGGTTTGAGCTGCTGTGAGTGCAGAGCTCATAACAGCCAGGTGATCGCAGGGCTGGTGAGCGGCGGAGGGATATCTGTGGTATCTTGAAGCTTCTCTTTCTCGGAGCTCTTTTGTTGATGATGCAATCTCGTGAGAAGCTGCAAGTGTGGCTTACGGCAATGAGTTGTGTTCTACCAGCCGCTCCGACGCAGACTGGATGTGGAACAATGGCCCTTGACGTCTTCTTGTTCATCATGAGCACCACCAGTACCCTTTGGTTCGCCTCGACTGCGTGTGAATGCCCTCAAAGGCCCTTTGTGATGCACAATGGACTTGTTGAGCGTCGACTAAGAGTTCTTAGTCGAGGCACGTAACTGAACTCTTTGACTGTTCACCATCTTTTGACATGTTCACTCGTGGAACAAGTTGTCGACGTCTCGTCGAGAACATTTATAATCCATGCCAGAACTCACCATCACTGTCATCCAGATCATCAAGCAATCACAATCATCAACAACAATAACCAACTTACCACCACAGACATCCCATATAACAACCGCCAACTCTTCAAACGCCAACTCCCCAACTCAAAAAAACCAAAAAAGTCAGTCCTCCCCCCACCCCCACCTTCAAAATGTGCATGCGCGTCTTCTCCCTCCAACGATGCTTCCCCCCCTCCCAAGGCGGCTGCGACGGCTACTGGGCGCGCTACGAGCACCTCGACGAGTGCGGCGGCTACTCCCTCAACGGCCTGCCGCAGTTCAACTGCCGCGCCGTCTGGGGCGGCTTCGAGTCCGTCACCTCCTCCAAAGTCAACCGCGACGACTTCTACGCCCGCCGCCCCGCGATCTGCCCGTCCTGCACCCACCGCCGCGACCTCGCCTACCTCACCGCCGAGGCCGAGCGCGAGAAGCGCGGCGAGTACTCCGACGCGATGCAGAAGCACATCCGCGACCTCGAATACCAAGCGCAATGCGCCCACGGCGCGCTGCTGGGCCGCTGCCACACGATGATGTGGGAGGGCGTGCACCACGTCATCGCGGGCTTGGGCGTGAAGACGGACGTGGTGTGGAGCGCGATCGAGCAGGCGATCTACCGGCACCTCGGCCCCGAGGCGATGGGCAACGCGGGCGTGCAGGCGTTTGTGAAGTGTCTGATGGAGGCGAAGAAGGAGGTGGTGGACCATGTGCGCGGGACGACGCGGGAGCTGGCGATTGCGCTGGTGGGCGGGCAGGATGAGACGGATTATGATGCGGCGCATGAGCGGCATCTGAAGCAGGACGCGGAGAAGCGCGCGGAGAGGGAACGGAGGGCGGTTGAGATTGCGGAGAGCGCGGCGCGGGAGCGGGAGATGCGGGAGGAGGATGCTAGGGGTAGACGGCGCCAGCGCAGCACGTCGCGATAGTGTGGCGTCTTCGGGTGTTTCTTGGTAGGTTTCTCTTTTTTTATAGTTTTGTTTTCTGCTTGAATAGACCGTCACATTTTTTTACGGTGTTGGTCCTACTTGTCATATTGGGTATTGCCTGGCTGGCATCTGTCCCGTATGGCGAATCTCGAATCAAGCATCAAACGTCGTGAACACGGTCGGGCTGCAATCCTAGGCCCTGCCGATTGCAGAACGTCGCCAGCTCAAGACCCGGCCTCGTCCGTGTTCCCCAGCCTTTTCCAGAAGTCAAAGAATACCTATTCACGTGGTCAACTTTGAATGCGGTCGTGTTCAAGTCATTGCAGACGGGAGTCGTCGTTCGAACACCGCCCCACTAGCCCACCCTTGGCTTGACTCGCTTCGGCATGGGCTAGCTACGCTACATTGGTCCACGATTTGCTGGCGCAATCATGGAACTGGGATCCTCCAGCTTCCCACATCTGGCGTTGTGGCAGAGTGGTCTAATGCGCAAGACTAGAAATCTTGTTCCTTCGGGAGCGTCTGTTCGAATCAGGCCAACGTCGACTTTTTGCAATTTTGACCTAGATTCTACGAATCTTTGACGTCACACGGAAACGGATATCTTTTTTTGACTTATTTATTGCATTGTGATTAACGTTTGATTGCGGTATGTGTACCCGCTTACGGCACTAACCCAACTGCATTTTATTTTTAAACCTCATGTGGCCGTGGTGATGTTGTAAGTACCTCAATTGGTCTGAAGATATCTGCTAGCAACCTCTTGAGT